TGAGAAACGAGGGGACTATTTGTATACGGTCGAAATAGATTTCGGCCCTCGTACGTTTGATTGGGTTCGAATGGTAAGCGACCGAAGTGAGACTTCGAGATGAGTTCCGAAGATAGTACAAACAAGCTTCGAGCTCCAAAACCGATCGAGGAGTCGGCTCGGTATCATTATCGAGCCCATGACCAAATCGAACCGCAAGGCAACATGAAGGTAGTCGGAGACGCACAGACCGATTGACACTCACCCCGAATATCGAACTCGAACCAAGGCCGAGGGCTCGACCCAATAACGAGCTCGAGCCAGTATCGAGTTCGCAGATAATAGCCGTTGCAACCGCACTAGAGAAGAGAATCTTGGCGGGAATCGAGGAAGAGACAATTCATTATGAGTTCTCCACTGTATATTTTTATTGTAAATAAAGTAAGATCCTTCTACTATAAAAGGGGGAATCCCTGTAAGCACAGGGCAGGTTCACTCATTGTAAGAAAATACTACTTCTATTTATTGAAAAATAAATCTCTTGAGCTTGTTTCACTCAGCATACTCACTCTCCTCATTCAAGAATTCATATCCCGTTTTTATAGCCAGGAATCTAAGCATCTCCACTTCTAGTACGATTTACGTCAAGCTATATCACATATCCTTAGAACTACTAATAAATTCAACTATATCCGATTTTTCGGATAAACAACAATATTTTACCTCATTTAGGATAACTGATTTAGGTCAAATATACCATTTGTCCTAGTTTAGATGTCTATATATATGTATAATCGCTTTTTTTTTTCGTAATGTAGCTTTTTCCTGTTTTACATTTTTACATAAAAAAGGTTATTATCTTACCTCATATATTCTCCAATAAAATATCAAATACTTTAAATATAGATGGCTGTTTTTAGGGTCAAATTGATACCTTCGGTTTGAGGAATTAAAAAGAAACCCTAAATCTAATTTAGTCCCATCCTCCAATTTTCTCTATATTGTGCACATTTCAGAACTATTTCCCCGATAGTAGGTGAGGTCGGTATTTTAGCTTTTTGCAATAATTTGGCACGCATAAAACGTGGAGAAATAATCAAATCTTTTTCATGTCTGGCTAATAGGGTCTTCCCCCCCACACATGATATGCAGATCGTAAAGCATAAAAATCCTTCTCACTTGAATAGTAACCTCTCATTCAATCACCCAAAATGATGAGTGATTCGCACAAATTAGGATTATTTGGTGCTACCTTTTAAATTTTGATTAATATAAGAAAAATTTGAAAAATAGCTTCTATGTCAGAATTTTGAAGCACGCTCATCATGATTTCATATTTAATATTGGGCAAGTCTTGTGGTGATTCGTTAGAATTTCTGGTAAATCGTCATAATTGGCCACAAAATTCTAACGGTACTAACAATGATTTTTTTCAATTTGCTCCTGCTAAATCAATTCAAATCATTAAGGATAGATAATATAAGCTCAAACCATAAATAAGTAATGATTTTTTAATTTTCTACACCACAAATTTTATTATTTTTTAATTTTGATTGTGCGCTCATAATTTATTGGAAGAAGAAGAAAAAGAAAAAGAAAAGGGAGAAAGCAGAAGAAGAAGATGTAGAACGAGGAGAAAAAGAAAGTTGTGACGGATTAGGCTGAAAGAGCTAAGATTTTGTTCTCAGGGTCAAAATTTAAATAAGTGTCCTTAAGGTGTCCACCCCATGTAAATTCTTGCAAAATGACGGCAAATTCAAAATTAGAAAAACTACTAAATAGTATAGTCTGCCAAATAATAGCTCGCAAATATATATTTTTGTATATATATATATATATATATAAAATAATTATTACTCCTATATCTGCAATAATTTGATCCCAAGTACCAACTTAAAATGTAAGTATTATTCAATTTGCTAATATTGTTATCAATATTTATAAATTAAAAAAACTGAAAAAAGTATTCTTAAATCTCCAATAAAACACTAGAAAGCATTTTAATTTTTTTTATAAATATTTTTCGTCATATCAAAGACAGTATCAAAAAGAAAGAAAAAGGAAAATGAGATACACAACAAATATGTTTTCAATGAATTCAGAGGCCCAAGTCGACTGCCGACCAGGCAAAGTTGGCATAGGGACTCTGGTACAAATAATTCTGGTTATTTCGTCTGTGGCTTGTTATTTCTGAAAGAACTTTTTATAATATTACTTTTTTTTTCTCGAGGAAGCTCATTCAAGAATTGAATGGTATCTTATTAATAGCCTGTTCTTATTGTAGCAAAATTATAAAACTTAAGTTTGTAAGTTGTAACTAAAAAATATATATTATTGTTTCGATATTTCACATCAAGTGAAAATCGTTAGAAATTTCTCAACCTAGTGATAGAAATTATGAGATGAACAACGCCTCATTGTCAACATTTAAATGAGATTGCTGAAACTTTCAAAAGGTAAAAAAAAATGACACTCAATTCATATAATTATAACAAGGGTTTTTTATTCAACAATAAAAAATTACACAATAGTATTGTATAAACGTGAAAACACATACGCTTTTTTTTCTCTCGTTTAGTTTGTTCTTTCAACATTCAAAACCTCAATTTGTTTAATGAGATTTTTATTTAGAATTCGAAATTTTTAATATACCGCAGTTCTTCCTTTTTCTTTTACTTATATACTAGCTAGTATGAAATTCTCTCTTGATTAATCAATTTTGTATAAGCATTACTTTTTCTATTTTCATGTACTCTCCCATACCTCGTGGTCAAATTTGTTTATAAATATTTCATGATTAATTATTTTGATGAAGAATAAAATATCAACGTTAAGGGTGTGTTTGGTATGTAGGAAAATATTTTCCAATATTTTCATGGAAAATGAGTGATTTTATCACTTATTTCCCCTTGTTTGGTTGGTGAGTGGAAAATATTTTCTAGTGTTGAGTAGAAAATATGTTTTTAGGAAAATATCTTTTTATGCTACCCTCCTCACCCCTTTTCTCCAAGTCCCCATGTTTCCTTGCTCCATCCACCCCCCCCACAAACACCCAATATTTTCAGAACTCTATTATCTTCAACAATTTAATTATTCTTCTAACAATTCACACAAACCCAAAGAAACTAATGTGTTGCTTTACTTTTTTTACACAAAACAACGTTGAAATTTATGCTCCATAATTATAAAGAAAATACTCTTTTTTGGTTGAAAGGGCGGGGAAGGGGAACAGGGTGGGGAAGGTTGAAAAAGAGTTTTAAAAAAAATATTTTTTCCTTCTCTTCTCTTGATAGAGAAAATATTTTCCTCCAATTTGAGAAAAATGAGTTCATGAGAAAAATATTTTCTAAAACATTTAAGCTAACCAAACATGAAAAAATTGGAAAATATTTTCCGAAAAAATTGGAAAATATTTTCCTTCGTACCAAACACACCCTAAATGTCTAATTACTTTGTAGGTGATACGAATACAACTCTTCAAAAATCGCAAGTAATGTTAACTTGAACAAGTTCTTTAATTTTTCTGATTCAAAAGATGATTGATGTATTTTATTCCTTTCCCAAAAAGATTAAGGAAATTAACTGAATTTACTCATTTTTATACAATACTACGGTGTAAAAAAAATCATTTATGAAAAATAAATGTAATAATTCATAATAATTTGAGGGCCATTTTTTAACTTTTGAAAATTTGGACAATAACCAGCTCATCTTGGCAGTTGACTCTAAGGTCGAGATTATCCGCCCATTTAAAAGGAGAAGAAAGTATTGTCTTTTTACTGGAAATATTAAGGGAATTAAATAAAACTAAATTTATAAAAATATGAGGTTGATATTTTAATTTTTCAACATAGTCTTTTGTTTTTTATAAAGTCAAAAAAAAAAAGGTCCCCCTCAAGATAGTTAACATACGCAACTCTTTTCTTAATACAATTGCCACACCAATAATAAAAGAAAATATTACTATGTTTATTAGTATTTTATCCGGTCTCCTTTAATTGATTTTTTCACATATATTAAAGAATTCACCTTTTAGCATTAATTAACAATGATAATTAATCATATTAATATTAATTTGTTCATTAAAAATATAATAAATATTCCTAGATTCTTTACTCCAAAGACAATTTTAAAAAAATTAATTCTTTCTTGATATCTAAAAAAAATTAAATATTATAAATCACAAAAAAAAATTTAAAAAATTAGTTAAAGTGGAACGGGCGGAGTAGTAAATATATACTCCAAATACATTTGAAAGTTCTCAAAATTTAAGAATTGGAGCTATTAGTAGAAAAGTCAAAGGACACAGGTGGGAGTGCCAAATAGGGAAACTGTGATGCCACCCACGTGCTAATTGCTAAGCCGTGCACCCAACCCTAATTAAGCTTAGAAGCTCCTTTAAGCAACTGTATAATTTATCTTATATATACTCGTATGTATTTCATTTAATTATGGTTTTTTAATAGGAGTACTATATATTATCATTTTAATTTTGTGACTCTTAGATTAAATTATATGATTAGGTGTAAATTTCAATTTTCCTGTAATACTATGTTTGAAAATGAATGGTATAATTCGTATGCTTGGAAGGATGGATAATTTACCTTCGTTAAATTCAGAATATAAAATATGAATGTTTTTTTTTCTCTCACACTTGAATAGAAGAAGGAGGTTTCTTGCACCGATTTGGAAAAACTCAAGTTTATAGCTTGGTCGATGCCGAAAATACTAAGGATACCATTAAGAAGAGGAGCATTGCTTGTGAAAATAGAATAATTATACAAAATTTACTTACATTCATAATTAATTTATAAGCATTTACATTTAAACCTTTATTACTAAATGATATATATGTATCCTCACTCTAATTTGGTCGCTTTAATTTATATGTAAATATGAATTTAAACACGTATCCCCCCATTTTTCTTTGCCTCTTTCGTCGTTTTTTTAATGTCTTTCTCAAAGATACACGTATGAATACTAATCTTTGAATGAAGTCTATAAAACCTTAAAGCAAAAGCGACTACGCAAGTAAGAAACCAAAACCAATCCAAAAAAGGCAAATTCCTGTTCTAACTTTTCCCTACGCCTACCTGATCATACTACTATAAAATATTCAGTACTTATCTTCAAAATTTGGGATTTGCCTTAAGAATTTGCAGCTTAAAGAAGTAGTAGTTGTAGTTTAATCCATCCTCCTTTAGTTGTGATCTTCAGATATAGCTTCAGCTTCATAACATATCAGATTCTAATAAGAGTCTCAGAGAAATGAGCACTTTGACCATTTCTTTACTTCCATCAAATCTCAACGCTCAAAAAGAAAGCTCTCTTTTTGTATACAAAACTAGAAGACTGTCCAAAAAGAGCCAATCTATAGTTCCTGTAATATTCATCTTCTTTCTTAATTCCCTCTTTTGCCTTTCAAATTTGGACATTCTGCATTGTTTAATTATTGATATATGTGATTGATGATTTCAGGTGGCAAGGTTATTTGGACCTTCTATTTTTGAAGCATCAAAGCTGAAGGTTCTATTCTTAGGTGTTGATGAGAAAAAACATCCTGGAAATCTTCCAAGAACTTACACACTTACACATAGTGATATTACTTCAAAACTCACTCTTGCCATTTCTCAAACCATTAATAACTCTCAGGTAATTTCTCTGATCCTGCTTCATATTCATGTATTAGCATAACTAAATTAGAAAATATAATTCCCTTTCAGTCTATAGCTACTCAACTTTTAGGCACAACAGAGGAAAAAAGGGAAAGATTCAGTTTCTACAATATTGTTTTTATTGGAATATTAGTTTTACTGCAAATTTGTCTTCCTGAGCCGAGTGTGTACCGGAAACAACCTCTTTAACTCTTAAAGATAGGGGTAAGGTCTGTGTACACACTGCCCTCCCCTGACTTTACTTTGACGTGTTGGCTTGTCCCGACATAAGATTTTGGAAGTACTTAAATCAATTATATTCCTCATGAGGGTTAATTTTCCTTATTTGTATTTCAATTGAAATTGGTGTGAGAAATTACTCTAAGAAATATTTGGAACTTTGATGTGCAGTTACAAGGGTGGTATAATAGATTGCAAAGGGATGAAGTGGTTGCAGAATGGAAGAAAGTTAAAGGGAAGATGTCACTTCATGTTCATTGTCACATTAGTGGAGGCCATTTCTTGTTAGACTTTGTTGCTACCCTCAGATATTATATCTTCTGCAAGGAACTCCCCGTGGTATATATATATATATATATATATATATATATATATATATATGTTTTTAACCCTCAGAAGTCATTTTTCTTTTCCTCAGAAAAAATTCAAACACCAGAAAATGATTTTATTTAAAGCAGTCTTTTGACCTAATATTATTTGGCATATGCACCTGCAGGTTATAAAAGCATTTGTTCATGGAGATGAGAATTTGCTAAAGAATTACCCAGAGTTGCAAGAAGCTTTGGTTTGGGTTTATTTTCACTCAAACATTCCAGAATTCAACAAAGTGGATTGCTGGGGCCAACTCAAAGAAGCATCCTCACCTTCTAGTGAATTGGGTAAGACCCAAATGGCTAGTATAGCTACTACAACCACCAATTGCAACTTGGATTTACCACAACCTTGTCAACAATCTTGCACATGTTGCTTCCCCTCAATGAGTTTGATTTCCTGGTCCTCTTCATCTTCACAAACTGGTTTACAAACTTTACAAGATTGAAGTAATTTACTGTCCTTGTAGGACTGTAAAAAGATAATAGGAGTAATTCTTTATTCTAATGTAAATTATTTAAAAATATGCATTTCGTTTTGAAGATGGTGGTACCTTTTTTTAAAAACCGGAGAAAAATAGGCATTCGGTGTATGTGTTGCGCCCTTACCACTAAAACAAAGCATGAGTATAAAGATGTTGATGCATAGTAGTCATGGACTTGGATTGTATCTAGTGTTGCAGCCATCCCACGTTTCATTGACTTGGTTTTCATGTTTTTCATTTGCTTATTTGCTTTAGTTTCATTTCCTTTCAATCTCTTTCAAGCTTTATCCTTTCAATGTCTAAAATAACTAAATAAGGGCAGCCCAAATCTATGTTGGTATAAACTAATATTGATGCATAAGTTACTGAGGCAGACAGCAGTAGGAAACAAAAGGTGAAAAAGAAATAGATCGAACTTCTTTACACCTGAACCTGAGAAGTTACACGAGTACAGTAGCTTGTTCAATTACTCGTGTACAATCAAATTGTAAGTGAGCATATAAGATCTGCTTTCATGAATTGGAACGCAGAAAAACAGTAAAAGACAACTTTATGTACAAACAAGATCACAAGTTCGCGAAAAATTGGATGTCCCCTCAAAAGAACACGCTCCCTCTCTCTCCTATATTACAGAACGCCCCAAGGATGTTAATGAGAATTAAATAACATCTCCAACTGTACACTCTGATCTATTAACAGATTAATCACTCTAATACATATTTTTGAAAGATGATAGAGATCATCATCCTATAAGTTGCACATTAAGTCATACATCTTCCTGTAACTCTTTCCCGTTACAAGTATCTCTCATCGAACAGATCAGCTCGCACCTCTTCGCTGCTTGTGCTTCACGATGAAACAACTTTAACGAGTGCCCAAAAATAATTACATTGCAGTCACCTGATTTTCGTTCTACCGAGAGAAGATGCCCCAATTTCAGTCTCGGTGTTCTGTATGGCCAATTACATTCACATGTTAGATGTCCTTGGATTCTTTTGAAAGTCTAAATGAAGGTACCCTGTAATATAGAAGGTTACTATCCTTTTACATATGCTTTACCTGAGATTTAGGAGAAGGGAAGACATTCCAGAATCGAAGTGTTTCGTCTCCTGCTCCAGTCACAATCGCCTGCAAAGATGTTAATAGCAGTTAAAAACATCAGAGTAGAGAGAATGAAGCTGCTGCTGCACTAGGCGACAAGTAGAAAGAAATACATAGACGAAATTAACTAGTTTTGCTCAGCTACCTGTCCATCTGGAGAGATGGCAAGATATAAGACTCTATATGTATGGCCCGTCAGAGTAGCTATCTGCATTAATTGAAAAAAGCATATGATTAAACTAGTACAAGACGATGTCTAACAAATAAATGTTTGTCCATATAATTTTTACTGCAGCGTCACATTCTGAAAACTTAGGTGAAATACCTTGGACATTGTAGGATACCTCCAGAGTATTATTTGGTTTTGTGAGTAACCATGAGTGCTGACTAGTTCATCTACGTTCTTCGACCATACAAGATTGCAGACCTGCCACAGTATTGAATGAGTTAGTATATCTGAGTAAACAACACTTGGTGGCACTTGTAATTTGTAAATCTGAAAGTCCAGAGAGACCCGGGAGGGAGGGGGTTGAGCAGGGATTGTTGGACAGTTTTCTAACCTCCCTCACATGCTTACAGATAAAAGTATCTTGCACTATCCTGTAGTGTGTACACACACATATATCCCGACTCAGTATGTGAGTGTGTGTGTGTGCCTGTTGGGGCGGGGGGTGTCTGAGAGAGAGAGAGAGAGAGAGAGAGAGAGAGAGAGAGAGAGCGAACTTGCAGAACTGGTTCAAACATAAATATTTCAATGATTTTTTTTTTCATGAGCTCCTTTAGGGTATATTCCCAAGCTATTGAGATACTTGTATTTCCCAGGGTTATAGGTCTAAAATCTGGACGATTGGGCTCTACTTCCTACTGTGCCAATTCCCGGGGTTGTAGGTCTAAAAATCTGGATGATGGGGCTCCACTGCCCTCTGTGCCTTTCGAGCTAGCTCTTCCCTGATGAAGCACCTACAATGGCATAACTTGTCTAGATAGCATAAACCATGGGCACGCCTAGCCCGAATTCCCAGCCCAAGGTATACTAATGGGGGAAGTCTTACTTTTAATTCCTCATATTTTGTTATACAAATGGGGGTAAGTCTTACTTTTAATTCCTCATATTCTGTTATACAAACGGGGCAAGTCTTACTTTTAATTCCTCATGTTTTGTGGATGAAACCACTTTTGCAGTGTTATTTGCTCTTACAGCAATTCCTAGATGCTTAGAATTTGTCTGAAAAGGCTTTTTTAAAAAAATCCAAAAAACTTACACAGAATGTAGTAAGCTTGCGAATCTTTTGATTAGTTTCATTTATGTCTCGCATCACTTTCCTTGGTTCCTCTCCTACCTTGTGAAGTGAATTACTTTCAAGGACCTCCTTCACAATGAGAATGATCCAAATCTCTCTCCAGCTCCCCTTTTCTTTTACCCTCCCTTCTCTCAGTCATATTCAAAGATTTCTGCAGTTTCAGCTACGGCGGGAACTCTTCTAATTCTTTAGCTGTTTAGGAACTTCAACACAATTAATAGAATAGGTGCGTAACTTGAAAAACACTGTTGATATTGTCTCCCAGGGCTTTGAAAACCTAAGTTGCTCGGACTCAGGTTATGAGTGATACGAGTGCAACTCTAGAGGTCAGATCCTTCATAATCTAAATTTTAAGATTCGGGGGTACGGATAAGGGTGCAGGGATTCGCCTAAAAATAATTCAAATATCTAAAAATAGAGTTACAAAAATATGTTATTATAAAATATTATGTGGAAAACTTACAAGGTATTCCGATAAGGAGAAAATATTGATCAAGAGAAGAATCCGAGAATGAGATAAAAAGAAAAAGGCCTGACATAGAAATTTATATATACAAGGTATTCCATTTTCTTCAATTTCACCCTAGCTTTTGTTTTGATTTCAAAAATCATTGTATCTTTCCGAATTTCTCCGTCGATTTTGGTCAAAGTACCCAAAATTGGTTGACAAGAGCCGGTACAGATCCCACACCCATGTCAGGTCAACACAGGTGCGGCACCCAAAGTGAAAAGTCCGAGCAACTTAGTTGAAAACGCCTCAGGTTCTTGATGGTAAATGTTTATGCAATTCTGATGTTTTTCTTTAAAGTTTATACCTGCAGAGGGCCTATACTATCAATAGTACAATATTAGTGCATTTTGCCTTGTGCACAAATAAATAAAGATACGTAGTGAAGGCCATAGAGAAAGATATTTGAGATTAAGAAAGAGATGGGAAGAGGATGGGTGGTGGGGGTTAAAAAGAAGGTCAAGATGGTTTGATAACTCCAATAACAATGTTTTAAGAAATAAACTTGAGGACACTATTCTCTTACGAAAAAGGAGGACTGAATATGCAGGGTAAGGTGTAGTAAGAGCAACATCCCTAATGTTAACTATCATCCTCATACAAATATTAGAAATGACAGAGTGAGGTCCCCAGTACTGTTTCAATTTGAAAGGAAGATCCTGCTCTTGAATGGTGTAAAATGTGCTTGGAGATGGTTCAGAAGGGGATGGCCTACTGGATAAGACGTAGTAGTAACAACAGCTCTAATCCCAACTGCAACACTTGGGGTGAGCACGCCGGCTCTAACCTTGGTGAGCAGGATTACCTTGGCAATCTGCACCGGGTGTGAACAGGTTGCCCGATGAACTAGTTGAAGTGCACAAAAGCTGACCCGATGTATGTTTGTATGCCCGCACGTGTAAGATTTAAAGGTCCACAAATTCTTAAAAAGCCAGAATTATCCTATCCATGGAATATGGTAAACTTGACGAACACAAACTTAAATGAAGCTAAACCAAACCTTTTTCTATTCTAAACGCCATGGAATGATCAGAAAGTGAGTTGAAAAGAAAGATTGTTCTTTTTTTGAGATGGTAACAATTGAAAAGCAAGATTGTTCTTCTGATCACGTAATTTAGATAACGCAAGTACTATCTTTTGAAAGAAAGAAAAAGTTGGTAAGATTTATCTAAGATAGGCAGAAATATCAAATATAAAAGAGGTCTTAAATATATGTAATAATAGGAAAATACCTGACTGCCAGTGTCTATGCAGCTGAGGTGTGTATTAGTGGTTGTATTCCAGAATCGAATGCATCGATCCGCTGTGCCACCACCAGAAGCTAGAAGCCCATGAAGATGAGGGGACCATGCAATCGCTTTCACAGCAGCCGTATGCTCGCAGTATTTTAACATAGGTTGTGTTGAATGGTTGTTCCACACTAAAAGCTGGTCATCAAGATTTAAGTGAGATACTGAAATAAGAGCCTAAAGATAGCAAAATATCATCTAGCGAGTATCATGATCAGAAGAACTTGATTCTGGAAATTAACAACATACTCTGTTATCATTTCCACCAGAAGCTAATTCACGGTTATCACAAGACCATTTGAGCCCACAAACCTGAAAAGAAGTAGTTTCTATTAAGATGCAAGAAAAAGTAAAACAGAAAATCTGCTAAAAATGAGTTATAAAATGAGAAGCAAGAAGGAAGCCTAACCTCTGACCTGTGACCACTTAGCTTACTGACGTAATCTTCTTGAGCTCGTATATCACGCTGAAGAATACTCTTGTCCCGGCTTCCTGAAGACAATAGGGATGAGCTCCAAGCTAGCGCACCGACTCTTAGTCGATGTCCCTCCATTGTTCTTATCCTCTTACTGCAAGAGGCATCCCATAACTACGCCACATGAGATTCAAACACCCGTTAACCATGTAAACAAAGAAGGTACTGCAAAACAATCCTATGTTTTTCATCCAATAGATTAGATTAGACCTAGAAATAAAATTTTCATGCACTTAAAAGAGAAATTTAAGTTTCATGCAATAAATTGCGCATGAATAAAGGAGAACAAAGATCTAAGTTATTACAGCAAGCGAGCCAATGTTAGCTTTAGGATGCCCGAATTCAGAGGACAAAGGTGAAAAGTAAACATTGTGTGCTTTCTGCTTTAAGCCTCATGCTATTTCTTGCTTCAGAAAAATAGGGAAAAACAACTGCGTAACCAGCCCAAGCTTTCAAATAAGTGTTCCCATGGAATTTACGTTGAATAGTAAAGTTCCTTTGTAACTTAACTTTGTTCATTATAAACACAATATGACAACTTCATGAAGCTTA